TTCATAATAGCTTCCATCATCAAACAAGACAATAGCTTTTCCTTTATTTGAAATATCCATTTGAATCATTTTACTCGGAGAATATGACGCAAATATAGGATTATAAAATTATTTTTATACTAAGTTGTACGATATAAACTTTAAAATATAACAATACAAAGAATTTTACAATAAAATATGTTTAAAATCATTTATATATCCTGCAATTTTCACTAATTTTGTCAGAAAAAAATAAATAAATGCACGATCAAGATAAAAAATTTAAAGAGAAATGGGAAAAGATCCAGCTTAAGGGCAGATGGCTTTATGGCTTGACTCATGGAACTATTTTCGGATTTGCAATATTTATTATAATCAATTTATTTAGACTAAAAAATGAAAGTTTTTTTGAAGTCTATCTCAATCAATTTGCTTTAAACCAAATGTTTACGATGATACTTGCAGGGATATTTGGTTATGCAACACTAAAATGGTGGATGAACCAAAATATATATAAGAAAATTGTTTATAGAGAAAAAAATCCATCGGAAATGCACTAATAATAAAAAAAGGAGAACAAAATTAATTATTCTCCTTCAATATTATTTGAACAAATCAATCTTATTCTTCTTCAGAATTACTTTCACCAACTATGTTAGGTGCAACTACAGCTGCCGCAGCAGCAACCACACCCGCGCTCTCGCCTGCATTACCAGATGATTTTCTTCGACTTCTACGCGTACCACCCTTAGATGTACCAGTTTTGGCTTTTAACACCTCATTAAAATCAACTAATTCAATCATAGCTGTTTCAGCACCATCACCTTTTCTAAAACCAGTTTTAATAATTCGACAATACCCACCTGGCCTATCAAATATTTTTGGAGCCACAACATCAAACAGCTCATTAATTACTTCTTTGCTTTGTAAATCTGCAAAAACCATTCTTCTTGAATGTGTAGTGTTTTCCTTTGATCTAGTTAATACAGGCTCTACAAATAATCTAAGTGCCTTTGCCTTTGCTAAGGTAGTATTGATTCTTTTGTGAAGAATCAAAGAATTTGACATATTAAGCAACAATGCATCTCTATGTCCCTTTTTTCTACCTAAATGATTAAACTTTTTACCGTGTCTCATAAACTTTAAATTTTTGTACCACTATCATTTGCGCTATAATCCGACCTTTAGCATTTTCAAATGACGTTTTATACTATTTAATAATATTCATCCAATGGGTCGAAACGATTACTCTTCGTCAAGCTTATATTTAGAAAGATCCATACCAAAAGTAAGTCCTTTCGTTTGTAATAGTTCTTCAATTTCTACCAAAGACTTTTTACCGAAGTTCCTGAACTTCAGCAACTCGTGCATATCAAATCTAACCATTTCTCCTAAAGAGTTTATTTTAGCTGCCTTCAAACAGTTATAAGCCCTTACAGAAAGGTCAAGATCTTCTAAATTGGTCTTCAATAACTTACGCATATGCAAAATATGCTCATCCACAATATTATCTTCACGTGATGATGAATCGTTGAAGGTTATATTTTCATCTGTAATCAACATCAAATGTTGTATCATGATCCTTGACGCTTCTTTAATAGCTTCTTCTGGATGTATTGTACCATCTGTTTTGAGATCTATTGTCAATTTTTCATAATCTGTACGCTGTCCAACCCTAGTATTCTCAACTTTATAAGCTACCTTTTTGATCGGTGTATAAATAGCATCTACAGGAATAACACCTATCGCAGCATCTTTTGGGAGGTTTTCATCAGCAGGTACATAACCTCTACCTTTAGTAACTGTAAACTCAATCTCCAAAGTAATATTAGGCTCTAATGTACAAATATACAAATCAGGATTCATAATCTTGAAAGTATTAGAATTTGTTTCTATATCACCTGCCACAAACTTATCTTTACCGGAAATTGTAACGTATAACTTCTCCTCTTCAGAACCTTCAGTTATTACCATAGGTTTTAATCGGATTTGCTTCAAATTTAAAATTATGTCAACCACATCCTCCACAACACCTTTAATGGTAGAAAACTCATGATCAAC